AGAGCAGAGCAAACTGCGGAAGAAACGACCAATATTTGTTTGAATTTCAATTTTTTCCCTGCAAATATCCACAAAATGGAGAGTCACTGGCACAGAAACTTGTGAATGGTGACATGTGAGTTTGAACATTCCTCAGAAGCACAATTCAAACTGTACGTTCAACTGGACCATCCTCCGTCCACACTGGCCGAGTTGGCTCTGCGAGCCACGCAGACCGGGACCAGAACAGCCCCGCAGGACCCGGGTAACCCATGGGAAGAATTCCCTGGTCTGCAGAGCCAGGGTCACTGGCTGGGACTATTTACGGAATTGCCCCTCATGAATCAATCCCAACAACCTTCTGGCTGGTCACGGAGAAGAGGAACGGCTCTGTTCTGACTCACTCACTGTGACTTCCGTGCTCAGCTGCGCCCAGGCCTCAAGGGTGACCCACCAGCCATGGGGTGAAATGTCTCCGTCTGTGCTCCGCACATGGTCAGCCCAGTGCCCTTGCTCCTGCTCCAACTGAAGCCCAGGGCAAAAGTCCCCTTGCAGCCCTCAGCCCCTCCCTGGGCAAAACCTCCACACAAGTCAAGGAGCAATTTGCCTGAGGAGCCAGCCCCCCTAACAAACTTTCCAGCGTGTGGCAATCCCGCGGCCGGGTATGGTGCTCTAGGAACCAGGGATGGGCGCCGTGGACACAGGTCTAATGATCAGCATTGTCATCCTGGTCTCTGAGGCCCCTGTCAGTCCCCTGCAAGCCACCCAAAATCTTCCAACAAAGTCACCGTGGCGGCCTGTCACCACAAGGGCCTTGTCAGGCTCTGTCAATAGGCCCCAGCTCCCCTGGCCGCCCGCAGCAAGTGGGCAGGCCCCGTGCTCCCCTGCAAGGCTGAGCCCTGACTGCGTGAGCAGCTCTCCTGGTGCCAACCGCTCCTCTTCCCAGCCTCCCTCCCCTACCCCCTGCGCGGCTCCCGCGGGCAGAGGATCAGCAGGAAGCTTCCGGGCCATCACGCCCCTGCCCGGGCTGGGCTGGGTGAGAAAGGGGCAGTGGTGCCTTCAATCCCGCTCAGGACACCCCCCGCTGCCCGGGCACCCGACCTGATTTAAATCCCGCCTGTGGCAAGTGAACTGAAATTGACCAAATGAAACTCAGCTGATTTCAGAGATTTAAACCAGGAAGTGCCTCCCTGTTAGGGGGTCGGACAGGCGTGGTCAGCTCTGGGGACCAGCCCAGCTTCTCCCATATAGGCCGCCCGCAGCGCTTTGGGCTGAGCCTGCAGCTAGGCCCAGGGCCCTGCCGCCCCTTCGCACAGGGGCCAATTTCACCAGGACCCAGCCTGTTTGCGCCTCAGAAAGTCTCCAGACCTGGCCTGGAACATTCTGGTTGCTCTCTCCCCACAGCGTGGGGCTGAGCCCTCCCGAGGCGGCTGGGGCAGGACAGGGCTTCACCGGGAGAAAGCTCCCCCCTCCCTGAGTCTCCCCGCTTGCGATTCACTGACAGCTTTTAACTCGAGACTGGCTGGGTAAAAGCTCTGCTCTGGGGATGGGGGCGGGCGGTTCTCTGGCCTGCCCTGTACAGGAGGTTGGACACGATTCCTCCTGGTCTTGCCATTGCTGGCCTGTCCGCAGCTCAGGGGCTGGCATCCCGCATGTTTAAAGCACAAACCTTCAGTAACCCCCCCGCCCCCCTTTCATTGTCTAGAAGCTCCCCCAGCCGCCCCTTTCGGCCCACACTGCTCGCAGCGCTTCCGCAGGAGCGTCCCAGCTTGCCCGGGGTCCAGAGGTTGTGAAAGGAACCGGTCTGACCCGCTCCCTGCTCGCTCCGCCGCCCGGTTAATGATTAAGGCGCGGAGGCAGGAGGGTTCCCGGGCGGTTCTCACCCTGCCCCAGGCGATGGAAAGTGTCTCCCCCGCTCCAGCGCGACCCGTCGCCGGCCGCGCCAGAGCGAGCGCAAGGGAAACTGAGAGCAGGCTCCGGGCTGGAGAAAGACCCACACTGCGGGCCCCGCTCCGCTCCGGGTTCAGACACTCTGGGTCGGCAGCCTTTTCACACCTGTTCCCAGGGGCCCAACCCCGGGAGGGAAACACTGGGCCACGCTGCGCTGAGACCCGTGCTCGGGCTCCTGGGGTCGCCACTAGTCCCGAGGGAGCAAAGGAAACGGAACCCCCCACGGTGACTCTCAGTGTGAACGGCCCCAGATGCGCTGCCCCGCGGGGCTGGGCCCCCCTGCAGGGTGCTAGAGCGGGGGGTGGGGGGCGTTTTCCCGCAGGTTCAGGCTGGCTCCCTGCGGGGAGCCCAGGTCTGAACCATGCTGCGGACAACCAGCCCCGTCCCTCCTCCGTGGGCGGGTCGGTGCTGGCCCTGCAGACCCCTGGGGTGGGGGGCAGATCGCGATCGCTGGGGACTGCTCCCCCCGCCCCTCACTCCTGAGCCCGGGCGCTTTTGATCGCCACGAACCGACGTACCCACATACCCGTGAAATCCGGGATTTGGCTGCGGGTGAAACCTGCGTCAGGGAGTGGCAGAGAGACCCGCGCACCCAATAACCCCGAGGTGGCCGGGCCCGTTCACACTGGGACCAGGAGCAAAGCCCCGGAGCAGGGGGAGGAATTGGCAAGGCGTGTGACTGCCGGCAGTGCTGCGCTGGGCAGAAGCTGAGTGGGGGGGGGCGGACCGAGATCATTAACAGTTCACTTAGAGTTTGGGGGGCTGTGGTCGGTTGACCGCGCCAGGGACCGGCTAAGGAGCGAGGCTGGAAAGTGGGTTCACAGTAGATAAGGTTTTGGGGGAGCGGAAACCCCCTAATTTCCCGCCGCTTCCTCCTGAAAAGCTTTGCTCTAATGAGAAAGGAAAGCCCTGACTTTCGGTCTTGGAGCCTGGCGGGGGCAGATGCTGAAGCCAAGGCAGGGTCCCAGCTAGGCTGCCAGGCCCCTGGTCCAGTGGCGCGGTGCGGCGCAGGTCGCTATTATTGCGCAGTAACGCAGGGATCGAAAAGTCCCGTGCGGGGAGCCTCGCGGGTCTCTTCCCTCTCCTGCCTTGTGTTCAGCAGCAAGACCCCCGGGAGCCCAGAGCCGGCGGGTCTTCGCCACCCATCCCGACGGTCGTTTCAGTCTTTACGCGGGTCAATACATTCGTTGGGCGCGATTTAGCTTCCCCCAGGGGCACAGAACTGCCGGGCTGGGGGCCTCGGCACGGGGCATTTCGCCTGGAGCTGCCTGGCCCAGGACCGGGACCCAGGGAGCGAGGGAAAATGAGGAATCGCAGAACCCGCTCCCGCCCTGCGGGACTCGGGGACCCCGCCCGGGAGCGGGTTGTGTCCTGGGGCCGCAGGGTTTCCGGGGGCTCTGCCCGCAAGGTCCCGGCCAGGTTTGTTGCGGGTTTCGCTGTCAAATGCAGGCGCCGCCCTGTGCAGATTTTGACCCTCCGGGGCTCCATTTCCCCGCCTGGGGCTCGGTGACCGGGAACCCAGTCCCGGCCCGGCCCCAGCCCGCAGGCCGGGGCCCCGCGGCTGCCGGGGCAATTCGCTGGTTGCAAGAAAAGGCCGCTCCCGGCAGGAGAAACCTGGTGGCTGAGGCGCAAACCCGCGGGCGCGATTTCCCAGCGGGACCCGTTCCCTGCCCGATCCCCTGAGCGCGGGTGGCCGCCCGCCCGCCGGGGCCTCTGGCCGTCCCAGCTTCTGCTGCTCGCCCGTTTCGCGGGGATTTCCATTTCCAGTTCTTGTAATTTCCGTTTAATTCTATTGGACCCAAACGCTTTGAAAATGTGCGGGCCGCAGCTGGCAAGGCAAAGGCCCGGTGCCCCCCGAACCCCTCGGTCCCTCTAAACGTCATTCCTCGGTCATTCTGCCGGACTTGTGAGACCCTTGCCGCTAGACAGAGAGGGGGGTGCATGGGGATAGATAGATAGATAGATAGATAGATAGATAGATAGATAGATGAGAGGGGTGTATGGGGATAGATAGATAGATAGATAGATAGATAGATAGATAGATAGATGAGAGGGGTGTATGGGGATAGATAGATAGATAGAGAGGGGTGTATGGGGATAGATAGATAGATAGATAGATAGATAGATAGATAGATAGATAGAGTCCGATCTTTACACTCTAATCTCTCTGTCCCCACACCCCCTGTCTGTCTCTCGGCAAGGATCCCCTACTCCGGCAGAAGGAGGGAGGAATGGAAGTGGCAGGACCGCGGCCCTCTGCGGTGTTGTGGCCCTGTGGACCCCGGGAGAGCAGAGAGACCAGGGCCGGGCGGTGATAGTTTTGGGCCCAGCTCCTGTGCGTGCGGACCAGGCTGAGGAGCCGCAGGGGACCCGCAGAAGGCGCCCCGAGGCTGACCCCAGGGAAGTGGGCCCGATGACGGAGAAGGCCGCACGCAGCGCTGTGTGTTACAAGCCGGGCTCTTCCCAGCTCCAGCCGCGGCCCACTGCGCTCCGGGATCGTGCCCTGCTCCGCTGCGGGCTCTGTTGTGATCCGAAAGCAAAATCCCGACCCCCCAGCAGCCCCCTTCGAGTGCCCTGAGGCCGAGGGGTCTGGGCCCCTGTCCAGTGCCCTGCCTGTGACTCGGGACTGGCCAGGCTCTGGGTGCGCGGGGCGGGCCGTGTCTCCAGCCGACCCTGCGGCACCCGGGACCCCTCGGGGAGGGAGGCGAGCCGGGGGATATCAGCGGGCAATGGGGGGACCCATCGGACAGAGACATTTCCTGCGCCCTGGGCAGCGCGTTTGGCAGCTGGCGGTGGCCAGGCTTTACTCCGGTTTCCCCAAGTGGGATTCCCCACTTCCTACCTCTTCCTTCTGCCTAAAATCCCCCCTGAACCCGCCTGGCTCCCAGCCTCTGCCCCGCAGCGAATGCGAGCCGGGGAGCCCGGAGCAGGCACACGAGAGGGGGGCTCTTTCCCAAGGGGATGCGGCCGCCCTGGGGAAGAGTCCCCGGGAGTTCCCTCCCTCTAGGGAAGTTACTGGTCGCTGCGCCCTGGGCCCCCGGTCTCCTGCCCCCTTGAGAGCTGTTACTCACCGTGGAAGTCTGAGAGCCGGGGGACCATCATTCCAGCGCGGATCCAGTGCTCCAGCGGGAACGATCCAGCCACTGCCGCGGCCTTCAGGTGCTCCGGGCCGGGCTGAGGCAGGTGGGCGAAGCCGGGATAAGGGAAAGCAGGGTGCTGGCCCCCCAGGGCCCCGATCGAGTACAGGGGGGACGGGTACATGGCCGGCAGGGCGCTCAGTCCGGGAGGGGGCAGATGCAACAAGCCGGGCTTGGGGATGAATCCCGGGGCAGGCAGGGGGGCCGTGCCCTGGGGCGCACGGGGAGACGGCGTCTCTGTGCGGGCACAGGAGCCGGGGCTCCCCGCCGAGCTCTCGGGGCTCAGCCCCTGCGGGGAGGCGCTCGGAACGGGCCGGGGGGGCTCCTCAGCCAAGAGGGCGTCGATCCGAAAGTTCTTGGACTTCTCCATGGGGGCTGCACGGCCCGGCCCCCTGCGGACCCAGCGCCCTCGGGAGAGACGCGGGGGGCCCCTAGGCCTCCCCAAGCCCCGCAGACTCGCTGCTCCCCGGAGGCAGGAGCTCCCCGCTGCGGCGTCACTCCTCACGGGACCGTCCGCAGCCTCCTCCCAGGGCAATCCCTGCTTCTTCTCCAGGGGGCCGCCCGGGTCCCTTCACCAGGGCTCCCAGCCCCAGGGCGCCTTCACCCCCAGCCTGAGCGCACCTGCAGCGGTTCTGGCCGGGATGGGGGTCCTGGTGCTAGAAAGTTTCGCCGCTCGAGCGACTGGTGGCTTCTTTGCAGGCACCTCCCTCTCTCCTCCTCCTCCTCCTGCTCTGGCTCCTTTCCCCCCCCCCCCCGCTCCCCGCCCGGCCTCTGGACAGCCTCCCCCCGCCCCTGGACAGCCTTCCCCCCCTCCCCGCCTCTGGACAGCCCCCCCCCCGCTCCCTCCCCGGCCTCTGGACAGCCTCCCCCCCCGCCCCTGGACAGCCTTCCCCCCTCCCCGCCTCTGGACAGCCCCCCCCGCTCCCCCCGGCCTCTGGACAGCCTCCCCCCCCGCCCCTGGACAGCCTCCCCCCTCCCCGCCTCTGGACAGCCCCCCCCCCGCCTCGACACAGGGTGCCTTGGGTTCATCTCCCCTCCACCTGCCCCTTTGCTCCCGGGTCTTCATTGGCTCCCACCGCCCCCCGCAGCCCCTCTGCTGCCCCCGGGCTTTGGACTCCTCCCTGATGCTCGAGCGACACCCTCTTTGCGGGTCAGATCAGAGCCAAACTCCAGTTTGGAGCAGGTGGGATCCGGAGGGCGAGGCTGGGAGACCAAGGGCGGGGGGCCCCGGGGCTGAGCACAGGCCCGTTATACCAATGCCCGTCTCCCCAGGACTGCAGGGCCCCGGGGCTGGCGTGTGCGGTGCCTTTGGCTGGTGGTTGTCGGACCTGAGGTGGCGGCGGCCCGGGAAGAGACCGTAGCCAGCACGACACGGGGAACGTCAAACACAAAACGAATTCTGCGAATTTTCAGTCCGAATCTCGATGAAATTTCAACACGAATTTAAACATCCAGGCGGCCAACGGGAACCGGCGAGATCCGAGGAACAGACTCGCCAGTAACTCGAGGGCGCTTAAGTAATTGTTACTATGGGGGGGGGGCTCCTTAGCTCTGAACTGCGTGGCAAAGAGAGACCCAAAATATGTTGCTACCTGTAAAACACCCCCACCCCCATTGTAAAACACCCCCACCCCCATTGTAAAACACCCCCCTCCCGGCAGCCCAGCTCTGCGGGCGGAGCGATCTAGTCTGCTTGGGGCAGGTCGGTTGCACCCCAGCGCTCGTCCTGTTGTTATGTGTCCCCCCCGCCCCAGCCCCTGCCTGCTGCTGAGGCCCCCTGGCTAGAGGACGCGACTCGCCCCGCCTGGGCTTGTCTGTTTGATGCCTTATTTGATTTGGCCCCGTTACTACCCGGGCCAGGCAGCCTCCTACCTCCTGCCCGGGGGGCGGGTCTGGCCCTGCTCCTGGGCCAAGGGGGGGCGGTTCGCAATAAGGTGCGTTTCCAACCCTCCGTGGAGCCAGTGGAAGTCTGGGGTCGCTGGCTTTGGGCCAGGCCCGAACCGTTGGGTCTGAGAGGGAGACTGAAGCCCCCCCCCGGCCTGGCTACTCCCCCCCACACACACAACCTGCCTCGCAATCAGGCGCTGTCACCTGCGCAATGACTCGCTAGCGGGGTCTTGGGGGCGCATGGTCGGTCCCCCCCCCAGCAGCACTAGGGAGGGGTCTGTGCGTGTCACGGTGGGGGGGTGTTTATCCACCTCTTGTGGCATGAGCCACAACCCAATTCCTGGGCACGGGCCACACGCCGATTCCAGGCCCAGGAGCTGGAGCCATGTCGGTTCGGGTCCCGGTTTCCCGGCCGGGTGCTGGGAGCTGCGCGCGGGGAGGGGGGTCTAAGTGAAAGCGTGGGAACAACGCGCCCCCTCCCCATAATCCCGCAGCGGCCTCGCGCTAATCCTGCGGCCACGCTTTACACGCCCGCCTCGTGTTAACCCGGAGCGGAGCCCGTGTGAACGGAAAGCCAGCGCGCGGCAGCCCTGCAAGAGCCGTGCTGGCCGTAGGAGCGGCTGCCTCTGCTTTGGGGAGAGAGGAGGTGTCCGTCTCTCTGGCCCTCGTCCCAGGCTGGCTCCTCCGAGGGGCGAGGTCCGGCCCTGGACCCCCTCCTGCGCCAGCACCGAGTCCAGCCGGGCCCTTTGCCTTCGCCTGGTGTCCGCTCCCAGCTAACAAGGGGGCCTGAGGCAGAACCCGCCCAGGGTGCGTGAGGGGCTGGTGCCGGCTGCACGGGCCTCCCCTTCCCCTCTTCCCCCCTCTCCTTCCCGGCTTTCCCTCCCCCAGCCTTTCCTCCACCCCCCCGCTTGCCCCGCACCGCTCCGGACTCCTCTGGCCCATTCCTGCCTGGACGCCGGGCCCCGCCCGCTCCGCGGAGCTGCGGGGGGTGAAGGGGGCCAGGAGCCCTTTCCCGGGGCTCCCGCTCACTCCCTGCCCTTGGGTGCTTCTTTTCCCACACAAACGTGCCTTTATCTGCCCCCAGAGATTATTCACGCTGTTGACTTTCCAGGGGGGAGGTGTTTAACCTTTGATCTGAACGCTTATTTTCCTTGCAAACGTCTATACAGGCTCTAAATTACCCCCTTGCAGATAAGGGCGAAATTAATAACGAGCGAGATGTTTGTCTAACTCCTGCCCCGCTCGTTCTCCCAGTGGTTACGCGGGAGCCATTCAGGCGGACACCGGCCCAGGCTGCCCTGGACCGTTTGCCTGCGGAAAGCCGGTAATAAATGACAGCCCCTGCTCCCAGGCTGAGGCAAACCTCAGATGTCCAAGGCCTCCGGGGGAAACCACCTGCCTCTGGGTAACTGGGCAGGAGGCAGGGGGATCCCTGGGCGGGCTGAGGGGAAGGGCAGCAGAAAAGGCCTGTCTCTGCTAGGCTACTTCACACTCAGAGCTGCACTAAGAGAAGGGCCAGACCCCGCAGACCAAAGGTCCATCCAGCCCAGGATCCTGTCTGCCCACAGCGGCCAAGGCCAGGTGCCCCAGAGGGAGTGAACAGAACAGGCCAATTATGAATGATCCCCCCCTGCCCTCCACTCCCAGAGGCCTTTAGTTAAATCAGGGCAAACCCTTGTGTGAATGTTCTTAACTCGGATTAGAACTGGTTTATGTCCTAAGGCCATGTCTACAGCACAGGGCTAGCAGGCAGAGCTGGACAGGTCTCCCACGTAGCGGCTCTGTGCTGGGGGGCCAGACAGACATCATGAAAGCACCCCCAAGGAGCTGCGTCGGGCTGGCCACACCAGCCTTCTGCCAGTGAAACTTATGTCAGTCGGGGCTGTTTTTCCCACACCCCTGAGTGACAAAAATTACACCAACAAAAGTGCTCGTGTAGACATAGCCTGAGTTAAACCAGGGCACTTTCCTAGACAAGGCCACAGGGGTCAAATGCTCCTGATTGTAATAGACAAGGAGGGGAAGGGGATCTTTCATTGGACTAACTTCTCTTGGGGAGAGAGACAAGCTTTGGCTGACATGGAGCTCTGCTTCCGGTCCTCTCTGTAGCTCAAAAGCCTCTCTCTCTCCCCAACAGAAGTGGGTCCAATAAAAGATGTCCCCGCCCCCACCTTGTCTCTCCAGTATACCAGGACAGACTCGGAGGCACCAACGCTGCATCCCCCATTGTAATAGGCAGCGCAGCGGGATTTGTTAATAACCTAGGGAAGGAGAGGAACAGGAATTCATGGGTTGGCAGCATCCTTTAAAATAACTGTTAATACAGTCGATCCCCTGGCCCACTTCTGGGCACACTGGGTCAGACCAAAGGTCCATCCAGCCCAGGATCCTGTCTGCCAACTGTGGCCAATGCCAGGTGCTCCAGAGGGAGTGAACCGAACAGGGAATCATCCAGTGATCCATCCCCTGTCACCCATTCCCAGCTTCTGGCAAACAGAGACTAGGGACACCATCCCTGCCCATCCTGGCTAATAGCCATTGATGGACCTATCCTCCATGAACGTATCTAGTTCTTTTTTGAACCCTGTTCTAGTCTTGGCCTTCACAACATCCTCTGGCAAGGAGTTCCATAGGTTGACTGTGTGATGTGTGGAAAAAACGTACTTTTGTTTGTTTTAAACCTGCTGCCTGTTAATTTCATTTGGTGACCCCAGCACTTCCTTATTTACTTTCACCATACTCATCATGATTTTATAGGCCTCTATCAGATCCCCCTTAGTCGTCTCTTTTCCAAGCTGATAAGTCCCAGTCTTATTAATCTCTCCTCATACAGAAGCTGTTCATAGAATCATAGAATATCAGGGTTGGAAGGGACCCCTGAAGGTCATCTAGTCCAACCCCCTGCTCGAAGCAGGACCAATTCCCAGTTAAATCATCCCAGCCAGGGCTTTGTCAAGCCTGACCTTAAAAACCTCTAAGGAAGGAGATTCTACCACCTCCCTAGGTAACGCATTCCAGTGTTTCACCACCCTCTTAGTGAAAAAGTTTTTCCTAATATCCAATCTAAACCTCCCCCACTGCAACTTGAGACCATTACTCCTCGTTCTGTCATCTGCTACCATTGAGAACAGTCTAGAGCCATCCTCTTTGGAACCCCCTTTCAGGTAGTTGAAAGCAGCTATCAAATCAGCTGTTCCATACCCCTCATCATTTTTGTTGCCCGTTTCTGAATCGTTCCTGAGTCCAGTCCATCTTTTCTGAGATGGGGCGACCACATCTGCACGCAGTATTCAAGGTGTGGGCGTCCCGTGGATTTATAGAGAGGCAACAGGATATTTTCTGTCCTATTCTCTTTCCCTTTCTTAATGAGTCCCAACATTCTGTTCACTGTTTTGACGGCTGCTGCACATTGAGTGGATGTTTCCAGAGAACTCCCCACAGTGACTCCGAGATCTCTTTCCTGAGTGGTAACAGTTAATTTAGGATGATGTTTTCCAATGTGCATCACTTTGCATTTATTAACATTGAATTTCATCTGCCATTTTGTTGCCCAGTCACCCAGTTTTGTCAGAGCCCTTTGTAGCTCTTCGCAGTCAGCTTTAGACTTAATTATCCTGAGTAGTTTTGTATCATCTGCAAATTTTGCCACTTCACTGTATAACCGTGACAGGGCTGGCTCTGGGCAAGCTTTTCCCACACATCTCTGCCAATGCCAAGGGCTGGGCTATCAGGGGGCTGCGGGTCAGGAGTGAGGGACATTGGTAGAGCTGTGGTGTGTGGAGGAGCCCAGGGTGGGAATAGCATCAA